TTGCCATACGGATGAGGCATTTATACTTGACGCGCTCGCCGTTGTGCTATTCTGTGAAACGACAGGGGGCGACTCGGAGTAATTCTCTTCTAAACCACCAGGAATCAGCAGTGAAGAAGTAGTTTGCCGTTTATTAGTAGTTTATTAATTGCTGATGCTGATTCATATAAAAAGAGTAATAAATGCAGTAGGTTTATTGTACTTTCACTGCATGTAAACTAAACAAGTGAAGCCTTATTGAAGAGTGTTTAAACCTTGATTTCATCAGCAGGGCTTAATTCTGCTATTGTAGGCTTATTTTGTAAATGTAAGCAGTTACTTTAGACAAGTGCAAACTGGGTGCAAATGCATTCCTATTCACAAAATGAGAGACTTTTATGGTCGCCCATCAATGCAAATGTCTCTGTGTATAGAAGGATCATAAACATGCTGGTATAGACGTACCAGTTCGGCTCGAAGTCGTTCATCTTCGGATGCGGCGCCGCGCGCGATGTTACAAAAAGTGCCGTGCACACCGCCAGGCGAAATGGGGTCTTGCGCACCCAACGCGCACGACCGCCCACACCGCAATGACATCATTTTTGCCACGCGCACCCTCGCGCTCTTGCGGACGCGTCGAGTATAAACAAGGCTTCACGCAGCACGTTTGAGCTTCTGCAAGAACCAATGAGGTTCATTCTCATGTTACGCAGCACGTTTGGGCTTCTGCAAGAACCAATGAGGTTCATTCTCATGTTACGCAGCACGTTTGAGCTTCAGCAAGAACCAATGAGGTTCATTCTCATGTTACGCAGCACGTTTGAGCTTCTGCAAGAACCAATGAGGTTCATTCTCATGTTACGCAGCACGTTTGAGCTTCTGCAAGAACCAATGAGGTTCATTCTCGTGTTACGCAGCACGTTTGAGCTTCAGCAAGAACCAATGAGGTTCATTCTCGTGTTACGCAGCACGTTTGAGCTTCTGCAAGAACCAATGAGGTTCATTCTCGTGTTACGCAGCACGTTTGAGCTTCAGCAAGAACCAATGAGGTTCATTCTCGTGTTACGCAGCACGTTTCAGCTTCAGCAAGAACCAATGAGGTTCATTCTCATGTTACGCAGCACGTTTGAGCTTCCAGGGGAACCAATGAGGTTCATTCTCGTGTTACGCAGCACGTTTGAGCTTCAGCAAGAACCAATGAGGTTCATTCTCATGTTACGCAGCACGTTTGAGCTTCTGCAAGAACCAATGAGGTTCATTCTCATGTTACGCAGCACGTTTGAGCTTCCAGGGGAACCAATGAGGTTCATTCTCATGTTACGCAGCACGTTTGAGCTTCAGCAAGAACCAATGAGGTTAATTCTCGTGTTACGCAGCACGTTTGAGCTTCAGCAAGAACCAATGAGGTTCATTCTCGTGTTACGCAGCACGTTTGAGCTTCTGCAAGAACCAATGAGGTTCATTCTCGTGTTACGCAGCACGTTTGAGCTTCAGCAAGAACCAATGAGGTTCATTCTCGTGTTACGCAGCACGTTTGAGCTTCTGCAAGAACCAATGAGGTTCATTCTCGTGTTACGCAGCACGTTTGAGCTTCAGCAAGAACCAATGAGGTTCATTCTCGTGTTACGCAGCACGTTTCAGCTTCAGCAAGAACCAATGAGGTTCATTCTCATGTTACGCAGCACGTTTGAGCTTCCAGGGGAACCAATGAGGTTCATTCTCATGTTACGCAGCACGTTTGAGCTTCAGCAAGAACCAATGAGGTTCATTCTCATGTTACGCAGCACGTTTGAGCTTCAGCAAGAACCAATGAGGTTCATTCTCATGTTACGCAGCACGTTTCAGCTTCTGCAAGAACCAATGAGGTTCATTCTCGTGTTACGCAGCACGTTTGAGCTTCTGCAAGAACCAATGAGGTTCATTCTCGTGTTACGCAGCACGTTTGAGCTTCTGCAAGAACCAATGAGGTTCATTCTCATGTTACGCAGCACGTTTGAGCTTCAGCAAGAACCAATGAGGTTCATTCTCATGTTACGCAGCACGTTTGAGCTTCTGCAAGAACCAATGAGGTTCATTCTCGTGTTACGCATCACGTTTGAGCTTCCAGGGGAACCAATGAGGTTCATTCTCGTGTTACGCAGCACGTTTGAGCTTCCAGGGGAACCAATGAGGTTCATTCTCGTGTTACGCAGCACGTTTGAGCTTCCAGGGGAACCAATGAGGTTCATTCTCGTGTTACGCAGCACGTTTGAGCTTCCAGGGGAACCAATGAGGTTCATTCTCGTGTTACGCAGCACGTTTCAGCTTCAGCAAGAACCAATGAGGTTCATTCTCATGTTACGCAGCACGTTTGAGCTTCTGCAAGAACCAATGAGGTTCATTCTCGTGTTACGCAGCACGTTTCAGCTTCAGCAAGAACCAATGAGGTTCATTCTCATGTTACGCAGCACGTTTGAGCTTCCAGGGGACCCAATGAGGTTCATTCTCGTGTTACGCAGCACATTTGAGCTTCTGCAAGAACCAATGAGGTTCATTCTCATGTTACGCAGCACGTTTGAGCTTCCAGGGGAACCAATGAGGTTCATTCTCATGTTACGCAGCACGTTTGAGCTTCAGCAAGAACCAATGAGGTTCATTCTCGTGTTACGCAGCACGTTTGAGCTTCAGCAAGAACCAATGAGGTTCATTCTCGTGTTACGCAGCACGTTTGAGCTTCTGCAAGAACCAATGAGGTTCATTCTCATGTTACGCAGCACGTTTGAGCTTCAGCAAGAACCAATGAGGTTCATTCTCGTGTTACGCAGCACGTTTGAGCTTCTGCAAGAACCAATGAGGTTCATTCTCATGTTACGCAGCACGTTTGAGCTTCTGCAAGAACCAATGAGGTTCATTCTCGTGTTACGCAGCACGTTTGAGCTTCAGCAAAAACCAATGAGGATCATTCTCATGTTACGCAGCACGTTTGAGCTTCTGCAAGAACCAATGAGGTTCATTCTCATGTTACGCAGCACGTTTGAGCTTCAGCAAGAACCAATGAGGTTAATTCTCGTGTTACGCAGCACGTTTGAGCTTCTGCAAGAACCAATGAGGTTCATTCTCGTGTTACGCAGCACGTTTGAGCTTCAGCAAGAACCAATGAGGATCATTCTTGTGCGTCAAGTAGGTTCGGTTGAGCTTTTATGTTCGCTGATCAATGTTTAAATGTGAATAGACCTTATGCACCAGAGAAACGAGGGCGCCGCCATCTTTAGAATATTGTCTTTGAACTTTCGTTTTTGCGGTCGCTCTGTATATTTCTATGGCATCGCTGTCCAGGAGTAATTAGCTGGTGAAGTTGATTTACTTATTGTAGAGTTAATGAAAGTTATCATGAGCATTGTAATGTTTATGATAAACATTGTAAAGCATATGTCTTAACAAATGGACCTTGGGAATTTTTTTAACGAGCCGTTCATTCATAACTACGCAAGATCGCTGTGAAAATACAGACCGGAAGTCAAAAGACAATGAGCTCAGCGCGGAAAAGGGGCGTGGCTACATAAGGTCTATAAAAGCCTAAATTAAATCCGTTCATCAAATAAAGCGATTGAGTCTCTTTAGAAAATTTGGACTCAACCGCTCAATTCATATGGATTACTTTTACAATCTCTTTATGAACTCTTTGAAGTGTCAAAGTGTCAGTTGTGTAGCGGTCAATGGAGGGACAGAAAGCTCTCAGATTTCATCAAAAAGATCTTCATTTGTGTTCCGAAGATGAACGAACGTCTTACATGTTTGACATGAGGGTGAGTAATAAATGACAGAACTTTAATTATTGGGTGAACAATCCCTTATGACTATAATTCTCACAGAATGCAATAGCACCACCCTGATGCTGATGGGAAGGCCTGTTCCTTTAAGAGGAGAACAAACATGACATGCATCCTCTGCCTTAAAGATCACAAGAAGGTTTCAGGTTACAGGTGATCCAATTCCTCAATATCTCACTGCTGAAGACAATGGCAGTGTCTGAAACTTGAAAAACATTGCATTTGCAAGGAGTATTCAAAGGCAGGAAGGCATCAATTCACATCCGAATATTTTCGTAACACCCTGTCTACTAAGAAGACTTCTACATTTTAGATCATTAGACTGGATATTATGGCCTTGTAAACCATTCTAAAAGAAGAAAACTTTCCTACAAAAACATTAGGTTATTGACTGACTGAATAAAAAAGCAGCAGCATTTGGTTTCGGACACAGCCAAAAATCACTTCAAAATATTGATTTGTAAAGTGCACATCACAGAACAAGCAAATCATGTTTTCTAGGAAAATTAAATACTGTAAATAAATAAACACAATGGGGGACACTAATTTAGGACAGTATCATCATTAGCATTAAAAATGTAAGTTTCAGAGGTGGTCAATCATATTCCTGGAGATCTACTTTGAAAAGTTTAGATCTCAGCTATAAATACAACTTTCAACGTAGAATATTTACTTTTAAATTATTAATATATCATGGTATTTACATGGTGTTCCAAGGTTCAGCAACGAATACTATGAAAATTTCCATTTTCAATACAATAGCACTACAATGGTACATGTCCAAAAGTAGGCTACATATAATTCCAAGGTACTCTGACATTTGCTATAATATTGAATAACTGCCATTTTCACATACCATGGTATTTACATTGTGCTACAATGTACTTCAAAGAACACCGTAAAATTACCAGCACACATCCAAAAACAATGACACTATCATGGTGCATGTCAAAAAAATATCCTAACAGCACAACATGATACTAATTCAAAGATACTTTGATATACCATGGTACTGAATGATAATCATGATATGACAGTGCAAAACAATGCCATGACATTATTATAGAACATGTCCACAACAACCAATGGCAATGATTGGTACCATGTACAAACGCATGGTAATACCATGGTACTTTATTAAATGAGAATCTCCAGGAGAAAGACTTTAGTCTTTAGCGTTGTATAATCATAAGCACCATAGATCATTCTTACCGAGGTATTTGATGTCGAAGCCCTGCGGTGGTTTGAGGGACCTCCTCATCCAAGCCTCCCTCAACACCTCCAGGTGATCCTCCTTGCCCTGGATCAGTAAAACATGCTCATCTATCCAGCCCAGGAAAAAGGTCTCGGCTATGGCATCGGCCACCATCTTATTCCAGAAATATTTCATGTTCAGTGATTTGAAGTCGGCGAATATCTCGTAGCCGGTGTGATGGTGCGGAGGCTCCTCGCTCTCCGTCACCCCGGGCGCGTCCTCCGCCACGACGCGCGACAGCACGATGGCCAGCGAGTGCGGCGCGATCTGCAGGAAAGGCTCCATTGATCCTCTCGAAGATGCTTCGTTAGACTCGACTCATTCCACGCGCGTGGAAGCGCAAATAAGGCGATTGATTGATTGACGGATTGATTGACTGATTGAGCGCGCGCCCGCAACCAGACAAAGAGCGCGTTTGCGCGTTAGTTCATTTGACCTGCCTGTATAAGGTGATGCAATTGCTGTAATAAAAGAACATTGTGGTGATATTTAAAGGATAAGACCATTATTATTCCAAACAAAGGCCTGGGTGGATGCGGGATGTCATTTTAAGGGTAAAATGCGCAGGTGATCATGTTATTCTCCGCTGAAATCGCCGCATATTATCCATTCCTCACCTTGATCAGAGACATCGGCGTGAAAATAATGACATCCTCTTCCAGCAGGGATGCGGGATGCATAAAAACATTATTTTAACGTCCATGGGTGAAAAATGGATTTGCGCCAAAGCAAAAATGATAATACTCGTGATCTTTTTCCCCTCGTCGAGATGCGGTTGATCCCTGCAGGCCGGTGCGTGACGATGCCTGTGTGGTTTACGGTGTGTAAAGCAGGTTATTACCTTGAAGCTCCCGCAGCTCAGATAGTGACGCCCTCTATCGGCGGAGGAGAGCTACTGCAGGCGCAATCACTCCTAATGCCAGGCAAACATCACTATTCTCCCAGTTACTCACCCTCATATCGTTCCAATCCCGGTTAAACTTTCTACGTGACTTTCTTTAGTTTAATAAACACAAAATAAGATTTAATAAATGTAAAAGGACAGCTCACCCAAAAATGAAAATGTTGTCAGAAAAGACACCCTCATGTTTATCCAAACCTGAATGAGTTTCTTTCTTCTGTCGAACACAAAAGAAGATATTTTAAAGAATGTTGGTAATGAAACAGTTGACGGTAGCCGTTGACTTGATGGAAGTGCCGTCAACTGTCTGGTTGCAACTGCATGTCATACTGTACAGTGACTCCTTGGCTTAGCAACACTTTGACCTACAGAATATTAGAAACATTGATGGAATTCATACATAAACTGAAACACTTTCAACTTTCACTTCCCTGGCCTAGAGCACTTTTTAAACGTTTTTGTATTACAGCTGATCTAGAGTCATTTTCATTTAGGATATAGATCAGTGATTATTACATCAGCATTGTTCAACGGAGATTACATCCCATCACAAACTATTCTATTGCAACAAATTACTGGGGAAAAATCCAGACATCCTGACAAACTTTTCAAAGCAATTATAGCATCTAGACTGGAGAGAATCACCTTATTTTACTACCACATGATATCTATCACAGCTAGAAGAGGTAGGGATATCAGTTTGATGGCTTTCTTCTGTTTTACCCAGGCTCAGACATGTAAACATGTCTCTGGTGTGCTATTTGATTCTCCTGTTTCATAATAGCCACAGGTGATGTGTAATTTAATGCTTTAGAATGAAGACTGAGTATGTTGCTAACCTACGGGAGGATTTTAAACCTGCCTGCTTACTCCATAACACTTTCCCTTTGTTCCAGTAAAAGCAGGGCCGTCGCTACCGGGGTGAAAGGTGGTGGCGATTCTAGGGGCCCCGCAATTTCAACCGACCCCACACAGCAACAACCTGCACCGGGGCCCTAGATACCATATACGACCCTAAAGGTATAGGAAGTTATTACTGGTATTTAAGACCAATCATATCTTGTTTTATATATAAATAAAAAATTATAACAAAAATGAAAACTCACAAAAACATGTCCATGTTACATATCACACAAAAAAAGTAAAAAATCAAATAAGAAAACTATTTACCATCATGAAAACTAGATTTTTTTTCTTGGTGACATATTTTCACAACATTTAAGCAAATTTTCCCTACAAATTGTTAATACCATAATACAAGATATTTTACTTTTGTTTTAGATTTTTTTGTAAGTCTGGAAAAATGTGAGAGCTCTTAAATGTAAAAAACTTTCAAATAGGTCCCTTAAATAGGCTTAAATTCTTTAAATTACTATTTATATGGTATATAAACTATATATCGCCCCGACCCCCGCCCTCACAGCTTGACTGTATTTGAGACATTCACCCAAACAGAAATCAAATCCCCAAAATCTCAAACATGTGAGGCCCTGCTAAATGACACATTGACAGTGTATATTAATTATTTGGCAATGATCAACTATTTTCATGCCAATAAGGCTTCCTGAATCTGATAACAAGGGTTTAACAGACAGACTCTAAGAAATCAGGGCTTTCTTGTGCTGACATTTTTCAGCCAGTCATTTCCTCCTCCAGTTAAACAAACTCACACACACATCAGTGTAAGGTAATATGTTTAATGGAAGCCAAAGAGTGTTGGGTGACTGAAAAACCAGGAAGCCGTAACCTCATGAAGCCTGGTTAGTTTCCAAGTCTGTGAGCCGTAAACTTATGAGAACAAAGAGAATTAGCACATAGGAAACAAAATCAAAATCTGAAAACTGATTTTTTTTTTTTTTAGGAGCCCAGTAGGTTAGTCCGTTTTTTCTTATAAATGTGAGGTGTAGCCTACACAGTAAATAGACATTTTAAAATAATATTTCACTTAGATTTCAAAATGATAAGGATGAGAAGTAACTGCACACAAACTTCTTGCAAATGGTGAATGCCCCAAGTTTGAACTTGCGGAAACCAAACTTTTTCTGAAGACATCTGAGAAGTGCTCTGGATTCCTGCTCAGGATCAACTTATTATTATTATTTTTTCATGTGCCATCATAATCTTTAAGCAAGATATCTTCCCCTCCCTCTTGCAATGACATCTCTTCTCTTCTCTGATGACGCGTTTACTGGCGTGAGGGCGGGACAACCTGTCACTCACATGAGATCAACCAATAGCAACCACAACCGTCCAATTAAGACTTTATGGACAAAATCAAGACCCGCCCTACATTTTTTCTTGTTCGAGAAGCTGTTTCATTTAGATTTAGGGTTGGATAATGAAACTGAAACACCTGGTTTTAGACCACAATAACTTATTATTATGGTGTAGGGCCTTCTTTTACGGCCAATTCAGCATCAGTTCATCTTGGGAATGACAGAAACAATTCCTTCACAGTGGCCAGAGGGATTTTGAGCCATTCCTCTTTCCTCACAGTGGCTAGATCACTATGTGATGCTAGTGGAGGAAAACATTTTCTGACTCGCTCCACCAAAACACCCCAAAGTGGCTCAAAAATATTTAGATCTGGTGACTGTGCAGGCCATTGGAGATGTTCAACTTCACTTTGATGTTCATTAAACCATTCTGTCACAGAATCTGCTGTGTGTATTGGTGCATTATCATGCTGATACACAGCCAATAAGGAAGAAAAGACTATAACAACTTCCGTTTCATGCCGACATTAAATCCTGGAGTTCCGACTAGGTATTTTTACTACATTAACATTATGTTTTTAGATGACACTTTCTTAATATTTACAATAAGATGATTTTAATGGTGAAATTATTGAAAAGGGTTGTGTAATTTAAACAACTGAAAAGTATATTTATATATAAAATCTTGAATAGACTACAGTGTACGCAAATGGTGTGGTTATTTACTACGACCCGAGAAATTTAAATTCTGGCCAATCACAACAACCAACAGCTTCTTGACATCAAAGCAAAAAAGTTTAATCACTTTCCACACCTTAATTATGACAACAGCTAGTGCTATGTCAGTTTAATGATTTCTAACATTATTTAGCAGTTACGTAGTTTTAGTTACAGGGTCATTTTCATGAACATTTTAGAGATCATGAGAACTGTAGATGAAATCTGTTAGATTAAAAAACAAATCTTATGCAGGGCATCAGTTTAGCCTTGTTTAACAAGCAACAATCTAGACGTCTCACACAACAAATAAATCAATTGAAATCCCTAATATTTACTTCACAAGTTCAAATCATTAAGCTGTAAACATGTGTTCTCCAAGGAATGTTCTGCCTTCATCCCACAATGTTAACTTCAGAGTTGGGAGATGTGCTCTTCTCTTCCTCACGCTGCTTCTATAGAAGTGTCTCCGTTTCTGCCCTGAGGCTGAGAAATCAGAACAGACACGAGACAGAGACAATTACGCTCTTGAAACAATCTCAACACCACAAATTTAATTCCATCCATTAGGGTTGGGCAGAATTTAAGAAATGGCTCACAGGATGCTGAACTGGAATTTGAATTGGAATGACAGAACAATCTCACAACAGAGGAATTTAATTGGTTCAACACTAGTTTTGCAGAAATGTTTTTTCCCAAATGTATACATAATAAGCATTCTATAAAATGAAAGTTAATTTATTAAATATTTTGAATTATATAATATAATGTGCATTCTACAAAGTACATTTTAGTTTATTAAATATTTTGAATAATAATATCATTTAATACAGGCATTCTACAAAATTAAAGTTAATTTAGTAAATATTTTAAATAATATAATATAATGTAATTAATATAATATAATAACTACAAAATTTAGTAAATATAATGAAGCATATGATTGATAACTCATTTATAAAAACTATTTAATTTATAGCATTTTCTGGAAATAACCCATACATTTTATGTATTATGATTTATAATTAATTGAATGGTACACAACATTATCTTACATCGAGATTCATGTGTGTATCATTTGTTGCATGTCTGAATAAATACCTTGACAAAGATGCGTGAAGGCAGAAACCGGCGCAGCAGTTGACTGGGGATGTTTGGAAAGCGCATCAGGTTGATGTTGAGCTGAGGGAGGACTTGATATCCCGCCATCAGAGGATAGAAATTATACAACATCTCCTGTTCTCCACCCGGCAAAATCCTCATCCGCACCTGCACACAGACACAGAATGAGAAAGCCCTCCCGAGTCAGTGAGAGTGGTGGCAGTTGGAACAGCTACTTTCTTAATGGCTGTGGGAAAGATAACATTGATTTGTTGATTACCAACAACAATTTTTTTTTTTTTTATCATTTTATTTAATTTGCTTCTTGTTGGGTTACCTTTCTATGAGGATTTTGCTTCACTCTCTGTATAGCTTTCGGACACCCTTGGACTAAGTGTGAGTGAATTTACTCTGGACCAGCGTTATTATAGTTAAACCAAAAAAAACAACATTTTCATTACTTGAAATAAAATAACATACCTAGGAAACTTATTTCAGCTAGATACCAAGGAAACATTTCTTATTTTAATTTAGCCCTGTTTACACCTGGTATTAAGATTTGGTCGATCTGATCACAAGTGGACGAGTCTAAAAATACAGGTGTAAATGGGGTCTAAAAGTTTTCAGCTGGTCCACTTTCAACCGCTTCCAGAGGAAGTCGAAAACGCATTCGACCGGATTGATTTCGTGGTGTTTGAACAGTCACAAAAGACGCCTACTCTCCACCTACTGACCTAATGCGTGAACATTATGGGAAGCGCTCTAGCCAGGCGGGATTTAAACTTTGTCGACTGAAGACCCAAGTTTGGTTTGAAGATGAAAAATGTACCAAGCACAATGTTCTCTCCATGTTCATTCCTGATTTCTAACACACACGTGGTCTTGTGGCTGTCAGAGCAGAAA